ATCTATCTATCTATCTATCTATCTATCTATCTATCTATCTATCTATCTATCTATCTATCTATATGAAAATGCAAAGAAGTTCTTATTTCTAACATAATAAAATGTGTAAAGGTTTAAGATATAATAATGCTTTAAAGGACACTGTATATATATCCTGCCCAAGAGCTACGGTATAAGAATACAGTAAAATCTAGAGCAGCCAGCTGTATTCTTGCCTGGTCTATGTTGGAAAGAAGGAAGAGCTACCGTATAAAAATGCACCATCCTAAATCTCATAACAACAACTGACTCATGCATGTTTTTGTTATGAGAAGAGCTGATCTGAATTGCTGTAGATTGCTTGGAATGGGGTCAGGCTGACAGTTATACTGTGTATGGATTCATGAGTATTTTTCTCTTGCATAGACCCATATATCAATGCAGACTGAGGGGCGGGGAGCAGAGGAAAAGGCCAGGAGTGTGGTGCACTGCAGCTCTCTGGGAAATATGAAGACAAACGAAGAATTGGCTGTGAATAAGAGAAAGTGTTATCAGTGCGGACAGGAAAGAGCTCCATTATTGATACCTCACTCAAGGAGAGAGAGTTTCTGAAATACAAAAGGAGCGTAGTCAGGTTGGAAGGTGGACATTCATTATAAGACTAATCCTTACTCTCTGACTGCTCACACAACACTAATGGTTTGCTGGTCAGGCTTTCCACTTTAACATACTTAGATTTATATTGTGCCCGCAGTAGAACTATGGTATAGCTTTTAAAGAGGACTTTTTCATGTATTGGTGCACACCAAGGCTTTGTTGCACTGGCCTTTGTCTTTAAACTTTTGTATCTACCTCACATTGCTCAAGACCATTTACACATTAACTCAAAGCTATAACTTACAATGCTAGTTTCATTCATGAATAATGTATTGAATGTGCTGAAACCAGATATTTACATTCACTTATAAAAAAAAAAGGACATATTGTTTTTCATTCTGATTTGCCAAAAAATATCAGAAAAATCTGAGTTTGCCCAGAATCTTTAAGAATGTTCTTAATATTCATAAGTTTACCTACTTAGTATTTGGTTAAACTGGTTTTTGAGCTATATAAACTGGGTCATAATGTTTGATTATACTTGCATGGGCTTTTTATAAGAGTGCTGGAATTTTGCTCCAGTCACTCTGACAAATCTTGTGCAACTTTTCCAACTTTGTAGGTTCTCCTGCTTGCACACACTTTTCCAGGATTTTTGATGGCCACTCCAAAATACCGGTATTAATTTTTTCCTGCTTATGCACTTTTTTTAATTTGGTTGTTTAATTAGTGTCATTATTTATTCATAAAACGTATTTCTGCTCAAGCTTTAACTTCCTGCCTACTGTCTTGTTCTTTTGCCTCAATAATCCCAGATAATTTTCTTTCCTCAAATACAATCTACAATCATACTGAAAAAATGAGAACATTATTGTAAAGTTAATTTACTTTAGTAACTCCAATCTTTAAGTGAAACTCATTATACAGATAAATTACACACACGCATGTTTTCAAGCCCTTATTTCTGTTAATTATGATGATTTCCACTTAGAGCTAATGAAAACATTACCTTTGAGATTAGAATATTACATCAGATTGTTTAAAAATTATTTTTTGGGGAGTTATGTTTAATTCATGCGCAAAGACTATTATCAGACGGTACTTTAAATCTGATGAATGAGGTTCATTAAAATGCATAGTCTGACTTGTTGAGTATGTTTATATAGAAAACATGATGCCACTGCCATCTTTCCCAGTTACAATAGTTTTCTAAGGCTTACGCAGATAATCAGAGTGGCCAAATACTTCAAATATAGTTTTATAAAAACACAACGTCTCCAAAAATAGGATATTTCTCTTTGTATGCAATTGCAAGCTATAGCCTGGATTTTTATGTTGCTTTGAAAATAATGGCTTCATCTCCACTAAGTGGCCTTTCAGCCCATGCCAGAACAGGATTTGTCTCTCTTTTGATAATGACATCCTCTTCTAGTACCTTTCTATCTTTACGAGCCTGTTTGTTTTTGCTGATATGCACATTTCAAACCAACGCTATAGTCCCTTAGACACAAATATCATCTCCTTTCTGAACATCACAATAGCTTGGCATTCCCATGATGTTTATACTTGCATAAGTTAGTTTAAACAAATGTGGCACCTTTTTGTATTTGTGTATTTCTGCTGATTTATTTAGATTCCCAGATGATGCTGGTAAAAAAAAAAAAAAAACAGCATGTTTGAGGCGTTTTCATATATATCAACTCTGTTTGGCTCTGTTTAAGTTTAGTGGGGATTTTATTTTTATGCCAAATATATCATCATTTGGACTCTCCAAAATATGCTTTAAGCATAGTATGTAAACTTATGAATTTAAGAAACTAATGATAAATAATATTTAAAAAATTTTGTATTCCTTTCTCAGCTAAAACAGTTAACATTCAGCCTGATGTTTGATGTTTGTCTTTTTTAAATAGTGTTTTAAATATCTGGTTTTCCACTGTTTTCATGTAGTCAACCACTCCAATATAATCTTTGCCCTGTGTTAATGCCACAGGCATTACACGTCTTTGATTATGTTTGCCTGTTTTCTTGTTTTTTATGCCTTACAAGTGTGTTTTATAGGCTATTGACGATGCAGCTTTGGAATAAATATTTATTAAAAACCAAAGAAAAAAAGTTATTTTTCTTAATACAACAAGAATCCAAAAACTTCTTTTTTTTTCTCTGTTAACTTGTGGATCCACTCAACTGGTTAGAGAGTTTGTGGTAATATTTCCTCATTATTTCTCGTCATCCTTCGCTGGAGACCATGCTCCTCTGGAATATCCAATTTGACTTCTTCCCTATTGTGGCAAAATGAATTGTTTATGGAGAAAAATTACCCTGTTGAAATCATTGTCTTTCTTTTATTCATTTTTTTCTTGTTTGTGGCATGATTGCACAAGGGATGAGGTCTCCAGCTGTCACACCATGACTTTGAATACACAAGCTTAAAAAGCAGCATTTCCTTTACTGTATTTTTGTGCTGTATCTTGATAATTTTCTTTTGTTTTATTCTTTCTTTGTTTTTTAAGTAACAATTGAAAAACTCAGTGTAAGTGTAGGTCATTACATATTTAATTAACTCTTCATTTTATTTCTCTTTTTTTAGTTGCCTACATTTTTATCTTGTGATTTTAGTTTCTGTGTAGTTATTAATATTGACTGAAACAAATGGTTTTTTTTCTTTATAATCAGTCAGTGCCTTCTGTTACTCTGTTTTTTTTTTAAGATAGATGTCTTATCTGAGTTAATTTAATGGAAAGGCTTAATGTAGAAAGTTTTGTTTTGTTTCTTTTATTTATCAAGGCATGCTGTTAGCATGAATTGATGGCTGTTGCTGTCGATGATGTTTATAGTGGTGCACATGAGGTGTAGAGCTGCAGCCTTATCAATCAACAATGGAACAGTATTAGATGGCCATATCTACTTTTTTTTTGTATTTTGTCCATTAGTGGCCCTGGAAACAATTTATTTTGGACCAAGCGCCCCAGTGTGACATTTTCGATTTCATCAGGTTGCAACAATTTGCCTTGGCACCCAAGCTTATTGCTTTGTGTGCCATTCAGTAAATTTTTTTCATTTTGCTTAAGGTACAGTGCACTTTTCTCCATGAACGTCTCCTGCCTGAATGAATGACCCCGGCCCTCTGAGTGTTGAAAGAAGTCTCATTACTGCGGCGATGTGTGGATAGACCCACTTTCTTTTAGATTCCGTTTTGGAGCACTCATGAGCCTTTTCTTCCGAGATTTTCTCTGACATGTAAGCGTTGAAGCGTTTCCCCTCTGGGCCAGGCAGCAAGATGCTTGATACTCCTGTCAATGTTTCTGATGCACTCCATGCAACCACTGGTTGTGAGACTCCATTACTTTAAGTGCCTCATGGGGAAATATTGTTTTGGCCCCTTGCCTTTTTACTTGGTATGCTGCTGTTCTTTGCTGTAAGGACTCACCAGCTTTGCATGCAGAGAAAAGCTTTTAAAGGTTGATTGTGTGTATTTTGCTATAAACACCAACACTGCCTGGTCTGATTTGTTAATGTATGGGCTGTTTTTTTATTTTTATTTTTTTATTATTTACTAAGATCATTTTTGTTTTATATTTTTGTAGGCATGCAGCCTCCTTAATTTTGTTGGCAATTTCCAACTCCTTATGTCAATCTAAATGCCAGCTTTCAAACCATTTATTCGCACTTAGTAAAACGTAAATAAAAAAGGACTTGTGAAATGATGATTTTGTTATAGGAAGAGAGCTGTCCAAACCAAGTCTTTCACAGCAACAACATCAAAAATCCTTTTTCATTTTGACGAATTTGTGAGGCGCTCTTCTTTGCAAAATAGTTTCAATAAAGCTCAGTTGTACTGTATAGGTTTTAAAATATTTATTTAGTTAGAAATCTTAAAGTGTTAGAAATCTTAAAGTCGGAAGGAAGTCATATTTGAATGTCAAATCATTCTGGCTTAAACAGGTATATAAACGTACTCTTTATCAGACTATATTGTCCCAAAATTTAGAACATTTCTTAAAAAATAAAAATCCTGTCTAAAAATCTGTGGGGGTATTTTTCATTATTTTATGCAGGTCAGTTAGTTATACGTCAGCTTGTACACCTACATTCGGCCAAATATATATATATAAATTTATTTATTTTATATCATATATTTTGTTTTTGTTATTTTGCTATTTATTTTTTAAACTTCGGAGATCAAACATCCATTCAATATAATACATGCTTTTACCGTAAAAATAACTTTCCTGAAAGCCTGTCAGCATTTCCTATTTAAATTTTTTTCTCAACAAAAAAAGCCAAAAAGCTCAAAATCAAAGACGGAAGCATTATTGCTGTAATATGTTAAATTTAGTTTAGTTTATTTTGCAAATCGATTAATCATTCGATTATTTTTCAATTAATCAATTAATAATTGGATAGCCAAGAGGATTGTTTTAATGAAATTAAACAAGGTGAAGCTAAAATGTTTCCAATTATGGAGGTCTGGATAGAGCAAATTTACAGATGAAAATGTTTTTTTTTTTACTTTAATGCAAAATACTTTTTTTTACAATTTAATATAATTCCTGCTCTATTTGTGTTGATGTGTCAGCAAAAGGCACGTTTTAGGGCTAATAGCTCACTAAATTATTTGACAATTATTTCAACAATCAATTAATCACGATTGATCCAGCCCTAATTTAGTTATTTATCAAAGTCATGCGATCTAGCTGCTGTATCTCTTATGATTATCCAGACCTGTTTTTAAATACATTACTGAGGCTGTTTTGCGTTTTTTTTTCTTAACGTAACATCATCTACACCTAAGAGTGTTGCAGTTAGCTTGGCCTGTTGTGTGGTCCATTTCCTAATTGTACATTTTTAACATTCGCGAACATTTCATTTCTATGTTTTACATTGTTTGCAGTCTCTTTTTTAAATATAAATCAACAAAAATCATTAATTTAATGAAATTTCATAATCAAAAAAGGAAATATAAGCTATTCTTGTGCTTTGGACAGTTTTTTTTGTAGTTTTCTTCGTCCTGTACCATGCGGCTCAGCGTTCATAGCAGCGAGTTCAACTTGGTTCATCAATGTAATTATTGCTCTGACTTTGCTGACTATGCTGCAGCTTTAGCTAAAATCGTTTTTTCTACTTTTTTCCACTGAATAAATGTATGCAACTTAAAGTTTTTCAAGCTGCTATGCTTTTAATGAATTGTTTTATTCGTTATCTTCATCAATTTTACCAATTAAAAAAAAAAAACATAAACATAACATAGAAGAACCATGGCTAATATTTTCATCAGCAACCATAACATTTTGTGTGTGTGTGTGTTTTGGTTTGTCTGTTTTTATTCACCCACTTGTCTCATGAGTTTAAATGCCTGAGGTGACCTACATATCTGACGCCTTGTTGAACTAATCCTTACTTTCTGCTGAGAGTCTTGAAAGATTTTCCTTTCCTTGTCCATTACACCTTTTAAGTAACCTGTAGATCGATTGTTTGATGATTCTTGTGTTGACAATATGTGAGCACATCTTTTAATATTTTAAAATATCAAATATTTTGGAGCTCTGAGCTGTAAGCGTCTACAGACTAAACTAATAACCCTTAGAAAAAGAGGGCCAAACATTTTGTACTGAAAGCACAGATAAAAATATAAAGATGTCTTTCTTCTTTGGCAGATATAAAGGTTGCAAAAATGTGTTGCCATGTGGACACTTTAACAAATTGTGGCATTGGTTTGAATTTGGCTAACTGTACTTTGCACTCTATACACAGGACACCACTCAGTTACTCTTACGTATTGGCTCACATAATGGTACTTCTCTGTGCCCTCAGGATACAGAGGTCAGAAAGGAGAGCGAGGACAGCTTGGCTTCGGTTTACCAGGAGATCCAGGACCCACAGGGCCACCAGGTGAGAAAACAAAAATAAAAGCATATTCATTTAAAAGATAAAATTTATAACAGTACTCTGCAAACTTGTCCAGGAACCTCATATATTTTAGTAAGTCTTAACTATTTGTGTGAAAAAAAAAAAAAAAAACACTACAACTGTGACAAGAAGGATGTTGATGCTCCTACATACAGTGAACAAGATGATAAGGAAGGAAAACACACTCAGTGCTTGAGAACTGCAGCAAGAGTGGCATTCTGGCATTGGCCAGTTTTTATACAACACCATTTATTACTGACTGTAAACAGGTAAAATAGGAATATTATGCAGGAAAACACTCACCCACTGCAAAGCATGATCCATTGCCAAATGTCTTGGCTTACCCATCCAATGCCTAGATTTTAGGTGTTCAATACCAACCATGCTGCTTTAGCATGCATTTGTGAAAGAATGGATTGCTTTAAGGTACTCTTTGAATTATGGACTCCCTAAGATCACAGAAAGATGTTTGTAAATGTCGAAGTGTATAGAGAAAATCATCCAGTTGGTGTCAACAGCAGAACAGTTTTATGTCATCACTTATTTTCACTAGTACCAAGTCAGAGTAAATCGCTTTGGGTCACTTTTTGGGGGGGTTTTTTGGCTTTCCATTAGTAACAGTAAGGTGGAGCAGTTAATATTTTTAGTGCCTGCTTGCTTGCAGCTGAGTTGGACTGAAATTTTGGACCGTTTGGTTAGGGGATGTGTTACTTGTCCCAGCATGTTTTGGTAACTAATATCTTGAACTATTAAATCAGTTAAAGGGTACAAGTACTATTATAACAGGCTAGCAT